CACTGGGGGGCAGCGGGGGCACTGGGGCGAGGGCGTGAAACTCAGCAAGGGGAGAGAGAAAGTGCTGAGGCGGCGGCAGGTCACAGGGCTGCACCCATCGCCTCGCTGGGAGGGAGAGCAGCGCATTAAGTGTTAACCAAAGGCCTCCCCAAGGGAAAACATCCCAACGCCGTCCTCCAGCTCACGCCTTTATTTCCAGTCCTGGCAGCGCTGAGCCCACAGGCACTGAGACGCCCCGGCCCCGGCAGCTAACCCCCCCGGCAGCAGGAGGCAGGGCTGCCCCGCCGAAAGGGCCCCGGGAGAGTGGCCTCAATGCAGGGGTGCGAGAACGGACCGAGGGTGAAGGAAGGGAAAACCAACCAGGGAGCACTTAAAGAATTAAAAAATCGAAAGAAAAAGCAGGGAAAGGACAGAGAGCTTGTTAAACCCAGGATAAAACAGACGAGCGACGAGATGTCAGGAGAAAGGGCAGAGAGGGGAGAAGTGGCCCGGCACCATGGAGCACGGACACGAGACAATGCTGCTACCAAGAAACAGGAAAGATAAATTTAGAGGCAGCCAGCGAGCGCTCTTCCTCCTGCAGCTCTGCCCGTCCTTCCTCCCCCTCCTCTCCCTCGCTGGCTCACCCATGACCACGGGCAGGACTCGGGCTCCAGCCCTGTGTGGCTTCTGCCTGCCAGGAGCAAAGCCCAGCTCCGCCACCGGCCGGTCCTGGCCGTACCCAGGGAACGAACCCAGCCCTGCCGCGGCGCCAGCTCCGGGAGCGTCAGTGGGAAGCAGCAACACCTCGTAGGGAAGGGTGTTAAAGGCTTCAGATGGACAGCCAGCAGCAAAGATTTCATTTCTGCACCAACTGGTTGTGGCCTCAGCCTGCAATCCCCACAAAATTCCCCTTTTTAACTGCAGCGACTCCCACACCGCCCAGCAAAGTGCATCTGGGTCTGCAACGCCGATGCAGAAATACGGTCTCACATACACAAGATGTGGAAGTAAAACAATGAACGCGTCCACGTGCTGCTTCCTAGTTAAAACACATTCTTCCCCAAACTGACATGCCGAGATAAAGCCTTTAAAGGCCTGACTGATATTTCCCTCTTAGTCAAAACCTCTTTGTGTCTGTCATTCGGAGCCCGCGCTGGAGATGCTCGTGGTTTTGCATGCAAGAGGGCCGCGTGCCGTTTGTCAGGGCGCAGGGGCCCGCAGAATGTGCCGAAGAGCAAGGGGAAACGGGCGAGGAACAGAGGTTTGATTTTAACTAAATTGGCTCATTTCAGTTGCTCTGCCTCACAGCAGCCATTTAAAACACCCCTGCACTGGAAGTTGCTTTTCTCGCCGCAGTGCTGAAGTCTCCAAGCCCAGCGCCCGGCCGGGTGCGGATCCACCAGGTGCCGCGGCAGCACCGCGGCACCGAGACCCCGGCCCGTGGGCCCTTCCGAGGTGCGCACACACGCGCACACACACGCAGCAGTGGGAACTGTGGAGCAGTGCCAACTGTGGAGCAGTGCCGTTTTTAGGCCATTTTCAGGCCATTTTCGGGCCAGAGCTGTGCCGTGCGCTTGGCACCGATAACCCGTTGCCAGTCCTCTCCAGCCCCCTGCTCTGAGGGTGGGTTTTGGTGCTGCCCCCACCTGCTCTCTGCCTGGCCCCTCCAGCCTTGGCTGGGGGGTCCTCAGCCCGTCGGGGCCACCTCTGAGCGCCGAAAGCCCGGCCTCGTGCCAGCACCCACAGCTCCTCTTCAGCAGCTCCGACCTTAGGCAGGGCTCCTGGTCAGGCAGCGCAGACCAAACCTGCTCCGGTCATTGCTCCTGCTCCACCATCCACCCACCTGCAACTGCTGCTGTCCCAAAGCCGTAAGGATTCCCGTTATTAAATGTTCTCCACCAAAATTTGTCTTCTTGCACGTCTGTCCTCACCAGCATTTTCCATAGCTCATGTGTTAGACCCCCAGTACATCCCATCCATCAGCACTTCCAGTCGCAGCTGCATCCCAAAGCTCTTCACCTGAGCTGCCGGCAGCAATGCTCAGGTCCGATTTGTGGTTGATTCAGGTCATTTTTAACCTTGTAAGGTGAAGAACAGTTACAAATTTTCCTCCTTTGCAGGTTACTGCTCAGCTACCCACACAAAACGTCACCGCACCCCACACCACGCTGCCCTTTCCCTCCTCTGAGCCACTCCTGGAAAGCAAGTATCACTTTTGGGGGTAAACCAGGATTCCACTGATTTCCCACTCATCCCTTCCCCCGTGAGCTGTGCGTTGCTGAGCCGGGTGCGAAACCCCAGCGCTTCTGCTCCCCACCGCCCCGTGCCGTGCTGGCAGCCGGCCGCCCCTCGCCGAGCAGCTCCCTGCCAGCCGCGGCTCTGGGACCCCCCTGCGCCCTTGGCAGCCTGAGCAAGCGATGGCCCCGTCCTCCTTCATCCACTACCGCACCACAAATCGCACAGGTCCCGTGCGTTGAGGCAGCCCGCGCTCCGCGTCGGCCGGACCCTGCCCGCTCAGGACTCCTCCGGTGACCGGCGAGCGGGTCAGGACGCCCACCGGTCCCTCCAGCTCGCCGCCTGTGAGCGCGAGACCCCCAGGCTCCCGATCCCCCATCTCTCTCCCACAGACCTGCACAAACCCAGCGTCACATTTTCAGCCCCCCAGCTTTTGGGGAGGACATTATCTGTTTCCAACGAAAAAGGAAGCATTATCTTTTTTTTTAAATCTGTACAAATTTGATGCCCCTGGAGGCTCCTGGGCCGACGCCAGGGCTGCAGGACGCACCTTCTTCTAAGGGAGCAGCCTGCCCTGCACGGCCTCTGGTGCTCCCCCATCGCCCACTTCTCTCTTTTTTATCTCAGGAGCAAGTCCTACGAAGTCTCACGTGAACTTTCTACAAGTTTTTCCTCGCCCTACACAAAAGAGCAGTCCGGACCCTGCCTGTCTCCCTTGGTTTCCCTGCTGTGAAATCAGAGGTGGCCTGAGAAGGAAGGAAGGAAGGAAGGAAGGAAGGAAGGAAGGGTGGGAGATGAGGCTTTTCTTCCCACTTGAGAATGTTCACAGCGATCCAGGAGACCTGGCATCGAAAAAACAAGAAGCCCTCCCGCCCCCGGTCACTTCTCCTTTACTAAGAGGCCTGTGATACTTTGCGGGGAACATTGTACGAACGTTCAGAGAAACGGGAGGACGGCGATAGCATGAGGGCATCGCGGAAGCCACGTGCATTACAAAGGGACTTTTAGGCAGGGTCCTTACACGTTGTTTCTATTTATTTCTGTTAGAAATACCTCAGTGTCACCCAAATGATGGACAGACAGTTGAGAGTAATGACCGCCATCAGGAAAATTCAAAATCATGTTTCCCCTGCCCCTTAATTTAAAGTTTGGGACAGAAACTGCGTTACGTGCTTGTTCTCCCAGCCCCGCTCCCCCCTCGAAACCCGGGCAAGGAAGAGC